ATGTGGACGAATTGGAGAGAGTCCAGCAGAGGGCAACGAAAATGATTAGAGGGCTGGGGCACATGACTTACGAGGAGAAGCTGAGGGACCTGGGATTATTTAGTCTGTAGAAGAGAAGAGTGAGGGGGGATTTGATAGCAGCCTTCAACTACCTGAAGGAGGGTTCCAAAGAGGATGGAGCTCAGCTGTTCTCAGTGGTGGCAGATGACAGAACAAGAAGCAATAGTCTCAGGTTGCAGTGGGGGAGGTCTAGGTTGGATATTAGGAAACACTATTTCACTAGGAGGGTGGTGAAGCACTGGAATGAGTTACCTAGGGAGGTGGTGGAATCTCTATCCTCAGAGGTTTTAAAGGCCTGGCTTGACAAAGCCCTGGCTAGGATAACTTAGTTGGGATTGGTCCTGCTTTGAGCAGGGGGTTGGACTAGATGACCTCTTGATGACCTCTCTTTCAACCCTGATATTCTCTGATTCTCTGCATGTGGCTCAGGCACCACTAAAGGGGGGACAGAGGGGTGCACTGAGTTGCTGTGGATTACAGTGACCCCACAAAACTACTGAAGTAAAGACCATTTGTATTTGGCTGTTTGTGACAGCATATTCTGTCCATAGGGTACCAAGTTGTAATGGTGAAAGGCACGGTGCACTGTGGGTAGGCATCTCACTGTCCTCTGTGAGGCCTTCAGACCTGCCCCTTATGGAAACTGTCCCTGTGCATTGGAGGATACCCAGGCGCGTCTCAGAGAACAGTGGGGATCTGGTACCAAATGCCCTCAATTCTCTCTGTTCCATCCCATAATCAGCCACTCTTGTGCACCATTTTCCAACTCGCAGCTGCAAACATAGATGCGGCAAAGGCACCGCCGTGCTCTTCTGCACTCTAAGGTCAGGGCATACAATTTCTCTTGTGTTTACACGCACACAGCGCTCATTGGCCTGCTAAACCCAGGATTGTGAGTTCAATCCTTGAGGGGGCCACTTAGGGATCTGGGGCAAAATCAGTACTTGGTCCTGCTAGTGAAGGCAGGGGGCTGGACTCGATGAACTTTCAGGTCCCTTCCAGTTCTATGAGATAGGAATGGTCAGGGATTGCAGAGGAATTTGTTTAACTCGTAAGGGGTTTTATAGTCAGCATGGATTGTTCTTTCCTGCTGGATTCTCTCCTGCCTTTCATCTGAACAAAATATTCCCTCAGTCGTTAGTTTACTCCAGTGACTGCTGGGTTAAGTCAAATCAGTGTAAAACATAGGACTAGTCTGGAGGGGACCTCCTCCTGGATCACAGAGTCCAGTCCCTTGCTATTGCAAGCAACCCCATCATATCATCCTATTCAGACCTTCATCAAGCTCCATCTTAAAACTAGTCAACTGGTTTGCTCCCCCTGCTCCTCCTGGGAAACTGTTCCAGAACATCACTCCCCTGATGGTTACAAACCTTCTATCTTCCAGCCCTGTGAGAGTAACTCTGCACAATTCTACATTGGCAATGTGCACTGAGGTAGTTATAATGATGCATATTTCTCTAATGCACCCAGGGTAGGCTCTGGTAAACAAGACACTGGATCTGGGTTAAATTCCCAATTCAGTCACAGGTGTCCTGCATGGCGTTAGGCAAGTCATTTAACCACGCACTTCAGTTTTTTCATCTGTAGAATGGGATCTGTGAGGATCAAATCCATTAATGATTGCCCAGATGTTACAGTGAGAGGGCCTCACAATTACCTTGATAATCCCTTATTGCTCTGTATTTTGTACACTCGTTTACAACAGTGGAAAACAGCACCCTGATCTGGTAGCATTTTACCTCCATTTTGTATTAAGTCAGGACAACAGTGAATCAGACCCTAAAAGAATATTAACCCATACTTGGGAGCTAACCACTTATCTCTTTTCTCCTGGTGTGGGTGTGTTCTAGGTGGGACAAAACTGTTAGCTCCATCTCTGATGCTTCCCTATATAAATGGAGTTTTAAAGTAGACTTGCCTGAGGTTACTTAGGATTCCCAGATTTATTCTGCCCCAAAGACAGGCCTAATTTTCTGGTCCTGCTTAGAACAAGACTTTCTCTTGTCTGAGATAAGCAATTTCCGGTAGCTCCTGACATGCAGTAAGATATCCCATCTACATTCAGGGGTGCCCAATCTACGGCCTGCGGGCCGTAGATGGCCCACCAAAGCATTTCATAAGGCCCACAGCCTGCTTCAACACAATATACTAACAGCCAATTCATTAGCGTTTTGTCGTCATGTTTACATCATTTTAGTTTACGCAAGTGTGTAAATAGGTTGTTTCTATGTACAGTATTGTCTATCTAAATACATACAAAACAAGCTGAACTTAAAATATAAATCAATACAGGTGACTTTAAATCTTATTAAAATATAGAATCTGTTTGGCCCACACAAGGTTGTGCTTAGGTTTATGTGGCCCTCCTATGTAATAAAGTTAGGCACCACTGGATTAAACGACTGAGTTTCACAGTATGCAGTGTTGTAGCTGTGTCGGTCCCACAATATTAGAGAAGAAGAGCTCTGTGTAAGCTTGAAAGCTGGTCTCTCTCACCAACAGAAGTTGGTCCAATAAAAGATATTACCTCACCCACCTTGTCTCTCTGAGTTTCACTGGTGTGTTTGAGAAATATGTGGTTTAGGACAGGGGTTCTCAAACTGGGGGTCGGGACCCCTCAGGGGGTCACGAGGTTATTACATTGGGGGTCATGAGCTGTCAGCCTCCAGCCCAACCCCGCTTTGCCTCCAGCATTTATAATGGTGTTAAATATATTAAAAAGTGTTTTTAATTTACAAGAGGGGGGTCACATTCAGAGGCTTGCTATGTGAAAGGGGTCACCAATAAAAAGGTTTGAGAACCACTGCTTGTCCTGGCGACTGATACTGGGGCCATGTCTACACTATGAGAATTACAGCGGCACAGCTATAGCAGTGTAGCTACGTTGCTCTAGTGTAAATGCTTCCTACATTGATGGAAGGGGTTTTTCCATTGATGTAGGTAATACTCTACCTGACTGGCAGTCGCTAGGTTGACAGAACAATTTCATTGACCTCGCTGTGCCTATACTGGTGCTTAGGTTGGTTTAATTATCAGGCGCTCAGGGGAGTTAATAATCTAATTAGACAAAACAAAGGGTGGGAGGGGAAACAGAGTCATTGAGGGGAAGTTATTTGACCAAAGTCACCCAGCAGGTCAGAGACAGATCCAAGAATAGAACCCATGTCTCCTGATTCCCAGTCTAGTACCTGATCCACTGGATCATGCTGCTTCTCAAGAGGTCCCAGTGCCCAGCTTTCACACCGCATGTTCCTAAAATGCTAAGATTATTATTTATTTGTATAGCAGTAATGCCTAGGAGCCCCAGTCAGGGACCAGGACTCCATTGTGCTCGGCGCTGTACAAACACAGACCAATAAAACTGTCCCTGGCCCAAAATGCATATCTGCTACATCATTGACTTTTCCATGTTTTATGCTGGAAGGTGTTAATGGCTGCCATCAAGAGGGTCCTTCATATATAGACAATCACAGACCTGGTCAAAGCCAGTGGGTATGCAAAGCACTCTTCTGTCAGTCTAAATGGAAGGAGCAATTAAGTCCCTGTATGTAGTGATATCTAGAAACAATACCAGGCTACTGCCCAAGGCACTGGTCACATGGTGAAGCCTGAGCAGAGGGAGTTCCCTGGTTACAAATACAGGAGCAAGTGGCAAGCTGTGTGTGTGTGAGGCAATAAGCCTTGAGGCACAGGACTGTCTGGAGAGTCAAGCTTGGAAACTGCCTTCTGTTATTTATTGCTACTCTGTTCAGCAAAGCAGGACTTAGTTCAAACCTGTTTATTTACAAAGAATATACACAAAGAATAGACCTGACTCAAGTTATTCATTTGTCCTCCTAATGGGAACAACCTGGCAACATCCCAAATGGTGGTAACTACTCAGGAGCAAATACACATTTATGCATCTTGGGTGGCTTAGTTTCCAAACATCTCTTTTGCAAAGAGGGGTTGCTTTGAATAACCAGCAAGTTACATGGTGCTGTATTGTTATCATTGGTATCCAAGAGGAATTACAGTAATTGACAAGCAGTGTAACAAACCTAAGACTTCATGGCTGTCAGGTTTGTTGCTTACCATGGACACTGCAACAAGGGGAACAGAATCCAGATCTTCATGCTCCAAAAACACAAGCCTCTACCACTTCTGCCAAGAGGGAATTGACAGTAGCAGTATAGGGCTGATGACACACAGCTAAATAGGTCAATTTCCAGCCAGTAGAGAGTGGAAGTAGATAGAAAAAACATGTATGCTAGCTAGTTCTTTATAGTTGGACAAAGGACACTTAGTCATTGTCTCTATCTACAAAGTGGGGTGTGTGAAGAGTGCTGGTGTGAAGACACACACTGTGCACGTGCTGGGAGTTTGTCTGCTGTTCTCTCTTTGAAATCTAGGGAACAGAGAGCAGTGGGGTCACTATCCCCTCAGTGGTGGGGGGTGAGGGGGTCTCTGTCAATGTCCCCTCAGTGG